TTTCACTGTCAAACTTTTCAATTTCACAGCGATCGCACAGAATAATGCAATCAGACAGCATGGTAGTTATTAATAATTAACATTATTTACCCATGACCAATCTGAATAATTTATGAAGGTGGGATAAGTAGAATTCAGCATCGCATTGAATTGAGATTTGATATACACAATTGTTTGTCTTTAGATCTCCAATGTTTACATCTACACTACCTTTACGTTGCTCCTTTTGCAACTTTTCCCTCAGACAAACATTTAACAATGATGCAGAGTTTGTTCTTTTCAGTCTATTTTTGTGTAAATAGTTCAGGAATATAATGACTGTTCTGCCCTTTCTTCTCTTATCAGGCAGTATTAAAACATGTGTGGATAATGAAGAGGACTAAGGAAGTAAAACAAGCGGCTGGCATGATAATGAAACCTGTGTGTTTTAACAAAAATGATGTTGAATTCAGATGGAATGTCCCATTTTTTGCCCTCATCAGGGAATTTAAACAGCTGGCCGATACTGGAAGACATAGGCACATGTTTATGTGTGTCAGAGAGTGTGTGTGTGTGCTTCAGTAATGCACACAGACACAAGTACTTTGTTTTTCAGAAGTGGATATTTTAGTGTGCAGCAGACATTGTTAGAATGGGTTTCAAGGGACTAAAGATTTCTCATTAATTTTTGAGTTTCCTCTTGTGCCATCTGAGGGGCCACAAAGGCTTTTTGTTTGATATATGATTCATGCAAAGTGAGACATTAGTGCAGTTTAACTCGTCCTAGCCATTTCTGAAGCTTTTTGTGTATTCTGTGTCAAACATACATATCTGTCACCTTTTTTATTTGTTAAGAAAAAGCCAATACAAATGTATATCTCTCACAAATTATGAGTACACTGTCTATTCTGACATATTTTCGGCAGAGCTTAATAATACTCTACGGTACAATTTGACACCCAGAATACATCAAACTGTGCCTGGCTTGATGAGGTGAAAATCGTGAGCTTGCTGTAAAAAGCCTTAGTCTCAGTGGAGATATTGAGCCTCAAATATCTGACATCATCTGACAAATCGTTAGTACTTCCTTCTTAAAGTTATAATCCCTAAGACTGCAGCACTAGCTGAACTTGGTGTTACTGTGGTGTTACTGTGGTAACACCAAGTGGGGTCTGATATTACACTCCTTGCAGCTACTTTGTAATAAAAATACAACAGAAGAGCGGCTGATATCTGTTTACTGTGCAACCAAACAATGTTTAAAATGGAGGTTTTTACACAACAGCTGGACATGGTAAGGTTTTTGTTTGCTGAGAAATTAAAAGGGTGCAGCCTGTTGCATCTTTCTCGTGTATCCTGTTGCTGCTTTACAATAACAGTAAGACTGTCCTTCACATGTTAATCTAAAGCAGCCGCAAAGACTATACAGTATGTAGTATGATTTTCTCAAATGTACAACACAAATGTAATACAGCTCCTTGACTTGGAAAGCGAACGGTGAGACTGTTATCAATAAGATATTATTTGGATTACATGCATGACTTTTACTGTGAATCCATCGAGGGGACTTTTAAAATGAAAAGTTTTTAATTGCGTGTTAATTACACTCAATGGCCACTTAATTAGGTACACCGGTTTAACTGCTTGTTAACGCAAATATCTAATCAGCCAATCTCATGGCAGCAACTCAATGCATTTAGGCGTGTAGACATGTTCAAGATGACCTGATGAAGTTCAAACAGAGCATCAGAATGGAGAACAAAGTTGATTTGAGTGACTTTGGACGTGGCATGGTTGTTGGTGCGAGACGAGCTGGTCTGAATATTTCAGAAACTGCTGATCTGCTGGTATTTTCACGCACAACCATCTCTAGGGTTTACAGAGAATGGTCCGAAAAAGGGAAAATATCCAGTGAGCGGCAGTTCTCTGGGCAAAAGGCCTTGTTGATGCCAGAGGTCAGAGGAGAATGGCCAGACTGGTTCAAGATGATAGAAAGGCAAAAGTAACTCAAATAACCACAGTAACAACCAAGGTATGCAAAAGACCATCTCTGAACGTACAACACGTGGAACCTTGGGGCAGATGGGCTACAGCAGCAGAAGACCACACAGGGTGCCACTCCTGTCAGTTAAGAATAGGAAACTGAGGCTACAATTTGCATGGCCTCATCCAAATTGGACAATAGAAGACTGGAAAAATGTTGCCTGGTCTGATGAGTCTTGATTTCTGCAGCGACATTCGGACGGGAGGGTCAGAATTAGGCGTAAACAACATGAAAGCATGGATCCATCCTGCCTTATATCAACGGTTCAGGCTGGGGGTGGTGGTGTAATGTTGTGTGGGATATTTTCTTGGCATACTTTGGGCCCCTTAGTACCAATTGAGCATTGTTTAAACGCCACAACCAACCTGAGTATTGTTGCTGACCATGTCCATCCCCTTATGATCACAGTGCACCAATCTTCTGATGGCTACTTCCAGAAGGATAACGCACCAAGTCACAAAGCTCAAATCATCTTGAACTGGTATATTAAACATGACAATGAGTTATTGTACTCAAATGGCCTCCACAGTCACCAGATCTCAATCCTTTAGAGTGCCTTTGGGATGCTTGGGAACAAGCGATTGGCATCATGGACGTGCAGCCGACAAATCTGCAGCAACTGTGTGATGCTGTCATGTCAATATGGACCAAAATCTCTGAGGAATGTTTCCAGCATCTTTTTGATTCTATGGCACAAAGAATTAGGGGCAGTTCTGAAGGCAAAAGGGGGGTCGAACCGCCGTTGTTATTTCCTTGATGCGGTTGGCATGGGTAGCAGCTTTTCAATTAGTCATAATGCACATTGTTTACATATTACCACAAGAGGAAATTCACACAGTATTTCAAGATTGATACACAGGTTTTAGGTGCAGTTCATTGGTCACAGAATGAGAGAAGATGTAATAGTTCTTATTGCAGTGGGGAAAAAAATCAATGCTTTGGTGTTTTTTGACAGCGAGTTTGTAATAAAAGGGATTCAACTGATGGTAGGGGTAATTATATTGAATGATGTATTGAGTATGCGCGGCAGACTGTGCTGTAACTGTTATGGATGAGGTGCTCTCGATGATGGTAAAACTGAAAGAAGAGTATTTTTTTACTTTACGTTTATGTATTAAATAGGTAAAACAGTGTTTGTTGGGCTTTTATAGTGTTGGGTGTGTAATGATGTTACATGCGAGGCTGTTGTCGATATCTATGCCATCAATTTGAATAAGTCAGTGATGGTTATGGGTTCTCCTGAGACATGTAAAGGGGCTTTGGGGAGGGGGCCGAGCATGAAATCTATAATGAGTCCTTGTGTTTTTGATGTGTCGAGCTGGAGGTTGTGATGAAGGCACCAAGTGGCTGTTTAGACTACCTGCTCACGCTACTGGTCTTGGTTGTTGTTGGTTTTGAGACCAATTATGGTTGTGTGGTGCATATTTAAGAATGGGGCTTAGCTACAGTATGAAGTGGTTTGTGTAAGGGTAGAAGATGAAACCCTTGGGGGCCGCCTGTGCTGTGGCTCAGTGGTAGAGATGAAAGGCAATTTATCTTAAGCCTCTATATTCTCCTCCACAGAAAGCTCCTGGCGCAGTGACATATGCAGGGGTCAATATTCATGTCCAATAAAGACCGCTGCATATGCCACTGGATCAATAAAAACGTACCTATCTGTTTTTAGACTTCATAAATCTTCATGTCCTGATGTGTTGAACTGTACTACATGGGCTGCGTTACAATGTAAGGGAAATGGATATGTTGGTATTGCCCACATATACCTGTGTAATAGCCACTTAGCTACACTGAAGCCATTTGCCAAAATGGCTGAAATTGATGTTTGCTTTTCAGAGTATGCATAAGTGTCATTTTGAACCCATAAACACCCCAACGTGATGATGATAAGTACAATATCATACATTTTAAGTAGTGACCTGAGGTTGTGGTTGTAGCTCAGATGGACTGTTATGTCTAGTTGGTATTATAGGAGAGATTAAGCCACAGAAAGCCATTTGAAGAGGCCTAGTAAAGACAGATTTGCTGTTGCGAGTGCAGGCCTACTTAAGAGCAACAATCAGGGAGAATTCGGGTCACTCTTCAAGCACATCATTCCTTAAAGCTTCCTCTTTGCCGAGCAGCCCAGTTCTGTGTCTGAGGACACGGACTGCTTGTTGATGGGGATTACTTGGATATTATAGGTCAGCTCCTCGGGGGATTTAAGTTTAATTAAAGAAGCTACTCATTAACTCATCAGTGTTCCACCTACAGTATAGTGGCCTTTTCATCTCACCACATTATTGTTCTGCTGGGGATTGTGGGCCATGTAAATTAATAACTAGTGGCTGATAGCATATGATGAATCTTCTAACAAAATGCTCCTTCTTGGGGAAGAATTCATTATCATAAATGTACTGTTTTTTTTTCTAAATACGCGAGTTCCACTGTGTAAAGAAGAAATGAAAAGAACAAACACAACCAGTAGTTGTTTTCCAAATAATAATTCAAACCTGAGGCGCATCACTTGCATGAGATTGAAATACTTGATATATATATACAAAAAAAAGGAAGGTGTAATAAGACTACATTAGAAGTTCTAAAATGGAATAGCTTATGTTTACAGTTTTGGATAATGTTGAATGTATATTGTATCAAAATGTGTTCATATTTCCAAAGAAAAATACATTTTGGATCATGGTCTGTATGATAATTGTACTCATCTTTATTATACTGACAGTTGGTATACTGTATGTTGTGTTTTAATAAATAAATCATTGATATATCTTTTTGTTTGACATTTAGACCTGTGTGTTTACTGTTAGAATGTAGATCCATTGTTTAAAGGCTGATACAAATAAACAGCAGAGACACTGAATGTTTGCAATTTCCCCGGTGCTCCAGTGGAACAATATATCCGTTTTTATATTAAAGTTTTTATTACACTTTATATGATTTCCATCTTTTCACTCCACCCTTCTGTCTCCTTTGTTTCCCACAGGGCAGTGGTTGGGCACAGAGAGCCATTGCCTGATGATAGTAAAGACAATATCACCATTTTCACCCGGATCCTAGATCGGCTGTTGGATGGATACGACAACAGGCTACGTCCAGGGCTGGGAGGTGAGCAACACTACAGGATGGATAAATCACACACTGCGTCACTGTTTTAGCTCTTGGAAAAAAGAAAATGGATGATTGGGGAGGACACATGAAATTGTGCATCTCTCACTACAAGTCATATACACTTTGATCTTTGATAAACGCTGCTGCAAACAGACCTGTCAGTGCACTTTGTGCAGAACATGTTTGGCCTTAGTTGGGAGTCTTTGTTTAATCATGCCCGAATGGCAAATAAGCACATGTCAGTGGAAATCCCTCTAATTGATGCCATTTCATCCATTGCACCCCCAGGATAACGAACTGCATAGTAGTTAGTCCACATGCTCAAGCAGGCTTTGCCATTTTTCAGCCAGCCAGCTGGAATGGTCATTTCTGCTCTGCTGCTTAATGCTGGCGCCACGAGCGAGGCTATCAGGCTGCGGAGCCACCAGGCTGGATGACCCGGACTCCATGACAGCAACCGCAGAGAGGAACCAGGCACAAGACGTTAATGTCAGACTCTGCCTCTGTGCCGAGGTTCACTTCTCCAAGGGCCAGGAGCTGCTGAAGCCTGGGCCATTCAGGGCTTTCAGTCATGAATGTTTCCCTTTGTAGAGCAGCGGCTGAATGTACAGGCCTGAAACATAGCAGGCTTCCATCCAGACCCCAGAGACTTACAAAGGCCAGTGGAAACACAGGAGCAACCATAATAAGAGAGAGGCTTGCATTATGTGTCTTTTTATTTCCAGGAGATTCTCATTGAGCCACTAACACTGGTACGAGAGGACTGAAATAATTCAGCTTGGTTGAAATATGACACTTTATTCATTGCACAGCAGAGCATTTGAGATTCAATTATGATTAGACGTGTTTACTTTAATTTATGTTACACGCTGAGGTAAATGGTAAATGGACTGTACTTATATAGCGCTTTACGACCCCTCAAAGCGCTTTACATGCTACATGTCATTCACCCATTCATACAGAGCAGTGTACCTTACTCTAGGAACTAACATTCACACACATTCACACACCATCGGGAGCAACTCAGGGTTAAGTATCTTGCCCAAGGATACATCGACATGTTGACTGCATGGGCTGGGATCGAACCCACAACCTTCGACGACCGCACTCCCTCGCAGCCACAGTCGCGGTCAGCTAAGACTTATATAAGCAGGTGTTTTATGGTATATGTTTGTTTGTGTGTTTTCATGCTGTGTGTTTTTATTCCTTTTATTATTAACTGTGAAGCTCTTCGGATGCTGCTGTTTCTGTAAAGTTCTATATAAATAATGTTTATTGTTATTATTGCGCATACCAACAAACTGTGGGGTCTGTATAATGGAAGCAATACTTTAAAAAAATGTGGCAGTTCTAGTCTAACTCTAGTTGATATAACATGAGCCTAACCCTGGAGTAGCAGGACAGCATGATCGCATTTCAGTTGCAAATGGATCTATTCAAATCAGAAATCCTTCCTTTGTTTCAAAGTAGGGACATTTACATCGTTACAACAGCAAAGGGACCATGTAGATTAAAGATGGAAATACAATGAGCAAGGTCACATTAAGAGACAAACAAATACTTTTTCTCATTGACTTACATTGGGAAACGGATGTCTGTAAATCAGTATGTAATCAATTATATATTGATTATTTTTCTTATTTAAATCATTAGGTCCAAAAAGTTGTAAAATGCTAAAAAAGCCAGAGTTTGTTTCTCTCTTCATTTAATCGACTTAACCGAGACAGACATGTCGTTGATGTGACAGAGACGATCAGAGGCGGGGCTTAACGAAAATGCAAGTGCGCAAGCTTTATGGGCCCGGATAATTTGGTTACTTTTTATACTCGAGAGTCAGGTCATGTTGCCTTCAAACACCACTAAGCAACTTTCAATGGAATCAACCAGGCCCGCCTTCAACGCTGTATTCAGCTCCCTTTATACATCCACGGTCCATCTGCTTAAAGACACAAGTTGATTGCCTCCTAAGAAGGGCCGAAACACTCAGTCAAATCCAACAGCTTCTACACATCCATGGATAAGGCTACCAATCTTCCTCCTGTTGGCCACACACCTGCTCCACCAACCACATTCCCAGTGAGAAACAGTCATGTGGGACCAATCTCAGACCAACACACTGGATAGAAAGCTGGAGCAAAAAGTCCCATTTAAATTCATTTTCAGCAGCATCTATTCGCTCTGCCCCATGCTCTGGTGCATTGTTGTAAACAGAAACAGGGGCATCTCATTCTGCCTCCCCGGCCATGCAAACTGCTGACTGGGTGTTGTGATAATCACACATTTGTGAGAGCTATTTGTGTCACAGCAATGATTAATGTGGATGTGGATCTTGTCTCTCAAGGGGGCCCTTTGCCAGAGGATTGGAGACTTCACCTGTGGGTGGTCAGTTAGATCTGGGACACAGTTAGAGTCGAGGATCCAATCACTTTTGGAGAAAGGCCTCATCACTCTGTAGTTGTTGCACCACTGGGAGCAGCCATTTGTCTCACAAATGGCCCAAAAGGCTGCTTCACACATTGGCCCTAAGAAGCTGAATCAGCGCCCACTGAAGAGGGCACATTTTGATCTGTCACGGCTTTCATTTTGTGCCCTCCTACATGCAATATTCAAATCAATTGTGAAGTATTTGGAAACAATTATTCCAGAGCTCATTATTATCATATTAAAAAGTCCTGACTAATTTACTGTATAATGATCAATTGGGTCATCGTTACAGTATCAAGAATAGTTAATAAGTCATCGTGACGGAACAAAAGCAGTCGTTATGTAACGCAACGAAACATGTAATTATGATTAAAGAACTACACTGGCCCTATAGGAATATACAGAGCAGACAAGCCTGGTAACAGTCATGCCGGATTCATACTACAATAGACTAAAGAGATTATAATGTGTGCATAAAATGGTGTAATAGCAGCAAAGTGTGCCCATTATGTGAATTAAAGAACACACACACAGGCTCATATTTAACGCTGACTGCTGCATATTACTCCCGAGCCAGTAGGCCCGTAGGGATTGTTAAATGTTTTTGGGGCAGGCTAACTAAAATGATTTTTGGGTCAAAAGGGATGTTTTCTCTCCAAAGATGCACACTTGGGCCTGCCAAGAGCACATTTTATGCTGTATTGGACAAAGCTAGTTTGAGCCAGACAAATGGTAGTTTTACTAATTTGCTTTCAAAAGCATCTGTGTAGCTGCTCAAAGCACCATTTTACCCCGAGATTGAAGCTGAAGTTCCTTGTTGGAATACTTGGGATTATTATTACCAATGCTGTCTGGCAATGCTTGTACATTTTAAGGAGATTTCGAATGTTCTTGGTCCGGCATTACGTTCTAAAACCTGCGATCTGTGACATGGTTTTGACGAGATGATACAAAGAAGAATCAGGTATTAAGCCGTCCACAATTTCTCCACCGAGCGTGCATAAATCTACCATGAAGTGTTCCTCTAACCCTTGATTTCGGTGGAGTTTTTGTGAAGCGGCTTAGTTAAATGCCAACAGGCAGACTTTACCGTCATGTACACAAACAATCAGCTTAACAGACGGAGCTGCAACAAAGCTTTTTGTACACACACTTCACTGTAATGTTTCCCTGGTCCTTGTTGTCTGTTCCCTCAGAGAGTGTGACAGAAGTGAGGACAAACATCTACGTGACCAGTTTTGGGCCGGTGTCGGATACAGACATGGTGAGTCTGTCTTTCTTCTCTTTTCTTCTCCTCACTTTATGACTCATCACATCTAAGCAGGTTATTACTGTTTACGTTACTTGTGATTGTTTAACTTTGACTCAAGTACTTGGAGAGCATTTGTCATTGAGTAGCTTCCTTCGCAGAATAATAGAATTTAATTTCTGCGAGGCTTGCACACATATAAATGAAAATGTTTTGCTGTGTCCATGCATTGTTTTCCCCACTTAAATATTTAGTGACGATTCATTTTCATTGCATACATTCAGTATTTTAGCAACCTTTCATTCAAGACTGAAAAGAAAGCACTTTTTTTACATTTCAGTCGGATTTACTCTACTTGGTGTGGCAAATAATGAAAACAACAAAACAAAAACACTTTTTTCAACAATATTTCTGATTCAAAAGATCAAGTAATGTATCCAAAAAAACAACCAAAGCAAAGTCTTCCACAATCTCACAGCTATTTTAATGCAATATTCCTGATCTAGAGAGTGTTTACCCTAGCGATATATTTTCTATACATGTTTATCTAATGGCACATGTTCCTCTACTGTCAAGCATGCAACCAATCCCTTCTGGGAAAAAGTTGTTTTAAGTGCACATTAATGTGGCAATATTGCTGTTTGATAATGGACAATATTTACCCCAACAACAATTGTATTGAGTTATATAGTCAAATACAAAAATCAATACTAATGTGATTCGCAGCCGTTTGTCTTGCCGCATTTAGCAAATGTTGATTTCCGTACTCGGATAAAAAATTACTTTAGGAAAATAATCAACTTTAGTGCAGTTGTACCAGCGGGGACATTTATGTAATTACATTGTATTACATAGCTATGTTGTTTGTAGTCAAAGTGCTTCCTTTTTTTAAAAATGTCTATTCTGGAGAAATTCCATTGAGCCCCTGATGGCCTGCTATGAACAACAGATGCTGGAGATGGCTCTGGCTTTGTCTTGGGACCTTATGCGGGGTTTGACATGTTTGATCATGCGGCTCTAATTGACTGCCCAGAGCAACGGGTTGTTTCTGTGGCTCAGCACTGAGTTGGCTCGACAGCCTGTGTGACGTGGAAAGATTAGTGGGTCTTGTAGAACTTTGAGTATTTTGGTCTCACCAGGGGGCTATTGTCACGTCTGTACACATAATCTTCTGAAAAAGGCTATTTCTGTTACATTAAGTCCAATTCGTGTTTTATTAGGCTATTGTTTTGATTTAAGGCAGCGTTTCTCAAAGTGTGGCGCGTGCCCCACTGAGGCGCAGAGATGTGATAGGTGGGTCGCGAATGGACGCGATGAATGGGAGATTATTTTATTTTATTTATTTTTGGACCTCAGGCCGGAATCGAACCTGGGTCCTCGCGGGCGGTAGTGGACTGTTACAGCCGGAGACTCGCAACGGCGGTGGACTTTCACAGCGCCGCTGCAACGGACCCGCCGGAGCCGCCGGAGCCTCGCAACGGCGGGTGTTTGCGGCGGCGGATGCGATACCGGCGCTGTGAAAGTCCACGGCCCACCTATGCCAGAGCCAGCGGCCCACCGAAGGCAGCAGCCCACCAACGGCAGTGGCCCACCGGGAAAAGTCCAGAATCTCCCGATGGCCAATCCGAGCCTGCTCACACACACACAACTGAAACCAAAATCATTTACAGACATAGGCCTATGTAAACATCTCTCATACACACATGTGAAACGCTCACACACACACACACACACACACACACACACACACACACACACACACACACACACACACACACACACACACACACACACACACACACACACACACACACACACACACACACACACACACACACACACACACACAACAGTGTTGCAGTCGAGAAGAAAAGCAATGTGGAGCGGCACCTCACCACTTCATAAGGAGTTTAACCGTGACACTTTTCGAAATCCCGTTTGTGTCCCCCCACTTTACAAATAGGTCTATGTTTATTATTATTTTTTAACACAAGCCATCATCGCCACGGAAGAGCACACAGCCTCTGTGAGAGAGAGAGAGAGAGAGAGAGAGAGAGAGAGAGAGAGAGAGAGAGAGAGAGAGCACACCTTTATCTATTTAATATAGCCTAGTTGTAAAAAATAAAGTAAGATAAGAATAAACAAGTTTAAATGATTTGTTATTGGTTGTGATCATATTCTAAAGATGTTTGGATTATTGAAAAGTATACAGCTCCCTTTCATCTGAGTGTTGAGAGCTGTATCCATACATTCATGTTGTGCTCAAAGTGCTCCAGATTGATGCATTTCTCTTCAACATTTAATAAAGGAGGTGAGGTCCACCCCCAAATAAAGCAGGTTAAAATAATTAAATGTAATACATTTTCTTTTAGTAAACACTGCAAACGGGTCCCACAGACCCAAACAGCACACAAAGGTTAAAGGTAAACATATAATGTTAAAATGTGCTAAATATATACACTGCAAAAAAACAAGAAAAGAGGAGTAAAAGTAGCTCACGACTTGTTTTATTTTTTGAAAGTAGCTCTCATCCTAAAAAAGGTTGGAGACCCCTAGGATAGAACGATACCTTTGACTATTTTAAGCTTGGCCTACCCTTTTATTGGAGCGATGAGGAACAGGTGGGGCTTGAAAAGGCCCACCTGTTCAAAGTGGGGAATGACAGAAAAAGTTTGAGAACCACTGATTTAAGGTCTATCATTTTTTGATTAAAATGTCAATTTCTGAGTTCTTCTAGATGGATTACCTGTTGCATTTACCTGTTACCTGTTTGTTGAACTTGTGAGAGAAAACTAAAGGTGTTTTATTCGTGTTATGTTGGTGTTATGTTGGTGTTATGTTCTCTGTCAATATTTGACAAATGTTTCACCCCTCGAGTAGTAGCCTATTTTTGAGTCCACACAGCTCAAATTTCAAGAGCGTTATGTCAAGTAACAACTTTTCCAAGTCAGGTCATAACTGTGGCAGAGACCATATTCAACATTTGTTATATATAAACTTTTCACTCGCCTATTCTGATTAAGGGGCTTGTACCATTTTCAAATCGTTCACACACTCACAAACTAGGTAGCTTACATTATATAGCTATATTTCAAAACTTTATTATATTTACCATTTCATATTAACTGCACTGAAATTCCGGCGTGATTGATTTATAAGCCTACAAACATTTATCATTCCAACTCTGGTTGACATGTGGCCAACTGAATAGAAAATATATATGTTTCCTTTGATTACATAGCTCACCTGCACTGTACAATGCAGGTCAATAGAAGAGTGAGGAGAAGAAAAAAAAACTATATATTGCACACCCAGAGGTGTACATTGGAAAATTGCAGTTTCTTGATTTACTATTTTTCCTTGCAAGTCATTCATATCTCTGTTTATCTTGGGGGGAAAAATACTTAGATTTATCAGTCAGTGTTTTATATGCTTGAATAAGGAGGGCCCTGGACCTTTCTCTATGAAGTAACATGTTACCATTAGGCAGTCCAATAAACAACTCAAAACACTACAAAGACATGCAAAAAGAGAAACAAAATGACTTAAAGCTCCCATGTCATGCTTTTCCGGTTATTACCCATCCTCTTGTGTGTTATGAAGGTTGTTATGCATGTAAACGGTCTGCAGAGTCAAAAACCCTCAAAGTACACCCTGTAGCGAGTAAAACTCTAACACAGAAAAGGTCATGCGGTACCCGGAACCAAATGGACCAATCCGTGGAGCCGTTACGTTAAGCCCCCGCTGATTGGTCCAAATTGACCAATCCACGGACTTCCTCACACACACACACACTCAGTGCAGGCAGCTCTGCTGATTTCTCCTCCCTGGCTGCAGGCTGATAACAGACAGTTGGGATTGCGGCGAAATTCTCTCTGCAGACCCATTCTCACAGCGTTTATCAACCTTTTTCTTACTCAATATCAAGCCACACTTATTGTTTTTACTTCGGCTGTGACTTTGTGTGTGCTCAGGATGAGTTTGGCTGTGTTTCGCTATGTATCCTAAACAAGGAAACAACACCTCCACGGAGCTCAGCGCGATTCACAACGTCCCGACCAATCAGAGCACACTGTGCCCACAGGGAGGGTGGGGGCTGGAGCTATTGGAGCTACAACGAGCCGTTAAAGGCAGAGAGTGAAATTCAGTGAATACAAGTAGTTTACAGAGATGCTGTATGAGAAACCAATGTGAGTTTGGAAGATTGCACAATATAAATCTATTCTAGTAGACCTCAACAATGGAATTATGATCAGTGGAAATGGCCATGACATGGGCCCTTTAAAGGAGTATTTAAACATATAGAAATGGAAGCAAAACAACCACAAAGACATGCAAAATATCGACAGAATGACCAGAAAGAAATAGCCACAAACAGAAAATGAAATGAACACTTAACATGTAAAAACAGTCTGGAAGTCTTATTTCTGTAGCTGGGGTGGTAGCCATTTAAATCGTAAGGGGCAATTGTTTATTATCCATCCATGGCTGTCAGGTTACAAAATGGTAGATGGTAGATATTCTTTCCGAATAAAGAAAATGTATTTGGCATTTAGTACACTAAATAAAGACGGAATATATTGTAGAGAAATGGCTTTAAACATGAGTCTGATCACAGTTTTACTAATTGAATAATATTTCACCATTGAAAGTCTCTAACTGGCCCCTGCCTTTGAGAAACAATTTCTCCTATTTTGAGGACTCAGCTCCGACCACAGTATGTTAAACTAGATTTGAGTGAGTGTTTGCTTTTTTTATTGACCTTATTACAATAGATCTTGTTCAGCAGATATTACCTTTGGGGTCTCTCAGGGCTCAATGCTAGAACCAATTTATTTGTTCTCTTCACATACTCCACTTGGCAATATCATGGATCATCGCACAGAGTGCACTCAGAGTCTCACATGATGGCTGTACAGGATATGCTGTACAGGACATGCTGTACACTTGTGGTCATATTTGAATATTGAGAGTACAGCAGGTGCGTTCCATCTGCTGTCATTGCACTATGTCCT